AATATAGATAGCATTTATATATTGCCATCAATATATAGATTAAAAAACTTTATCAATCGAAAGAAATGGAATATATATTGAAAGAAACTTTAAAGTTGAGTTTGAAAAACATTATAATGACATGTAAAATAATCTCTTTGCTAATTACTTTATATGAAATATAGGAGCAGAATTATAGAAATCAACATTTTATAAAGAATATATATATATATATATATATATGAAATTGCAAGAAATAGTATATTCCAGATATCTTCAAATAAAAAAAGCTAATACACTAGATCAAAGATTGTAGGTTGAAAAAAGGCCAACGAGAATAGTGAGCAAATTTAAAGAGTCAATATGACATAATTACTCATTGATACCTCGCATTAACGTCTTTTAGCTCTTGGCATTAAGTCAATACTAATCTATTGAAACGCCATGAAGATGATATTTCACCAGGCTAAATTATATTATCTATCAGATAATAAAGTAGAAATTCTTCTTCAAGTGCTTAAGCGATTAGATAACTTCGTATCATTATAAAAAGAAAAAGTATAATAAAACAGATTTTTTTTTATTGCTTTATGAGATTATATTTTTCTTTCTGTATTTTCTGTATATAGATAAAAAACAATACAAGTTCTAATTATTTTATTTTTAGGTAACTATTTATCGATTCGAAAGCTCAATAAAATGTCCTTATAATTGAGAAAATAATCAAATAATTATATATTTTCAATAGGAAAAAAGTCTCATGAAATAATTAATTATATTAAGAAATTTTTGTGATTATTTACAACAATTACAATTCTCAAAAGAGTCAAGAATATCTTGATGGTAATAATTCATTACATCATGAATGAAATAAGACAAGGAAGTTAATTGGAAGACAGAAATTTGTGACAATCAACTAGTTGTTCATATAAGAAACATGATTTACTTTAATACAGTTATTTAGTTTGTCCGTCTCCTAATAACCTTTTTTATTCTTACATCATAAAAGTATTTAAGCAAAGAACGGAATTCATTGACTCTGATTATTTCGCTCTATTACTATTATCTACCTACGCATTATCACATCTCTTACAGGATCTCGACACTATATTGTTATTGATATGAAAGTATGTGGTAAACTTCCGTAAAACATCCGTTCTAGAATAATTGAACTGAATAGCTTTATATATTTCATTATGATATACTTAATAATATTATCAACATACCCTATATTAATAATTCATGTAAATTAGATTCTTTTGGAAGAAAAATCTATGCTATCTAATGCCAAAAACAAAGTCTGAATATTAAAATATAGTTGAATTGTTGTTTGAAATAAATATTTCCTTTTTTTTTTGGTCTTGTTGTTTCGTAATTAACCTTGCTGATAGCATTAAATCAAAGACATTATTAACTGAGAATGCATTTATTAAGGAGACTAAATTAAACCGATGTGTAGGTGGAATTTTTTTTTTTTGGAAAATCTTAACAATCTTGCATGATCATCAACATCAAACATATGTAGCTTACAAACGACATAATTGTTGACAGGTAACTATTAAGTTATTAAGAATAATTCAAAACGAGAAGTGTTACTCTGTCATTTAGTTTTTTCTTCTTTCTGGTTGAGAAAGAAGATACAGTACAGAAAACCTATTAATATAGATATATATATATCTATATATATCTATATATATATAAGTTTGACGTAAAACATGGTAAGAAAAACATAATTAAGTAACAACCGTATGTGACAGTAAGACGAATAATATATTAGTTCATTCAGGTTTTTCAGGTCTTTTTTTTTATTGTTTCATTTGTTTTAATTTGCACTTATAGCTCGTTTAATATGGTAATAAATGTGTCATAATGTATGCACCATTCCTATCTATCTCAATTACATTCTTGATTCTTTTGTCACTTCATCTTGAAAAAAGATAACATGCCGTTGTCTGCTCGGTACATACATATATAGACATGTAAGGAATGGATGAGTTTGATGGAAGTTTGTTTATACCATTCATTCCAGCATGCACACAACGTATGGGGGGTTTGATGAAAAAAAAAATGTTATTTCTTTCAAGGTAATTGACAGACAAGTTTGTAAGTAGAGAAAAAAACAGTCAGCAATTGAAAATAAAGGAAAAAAAGGAATATGTATTTATTAACGACCTTTTCTTTTGGCGTAGACGTTCTGGACTTGTACACATTATTTTTAAAAACAACCCATACATACGCATCACTTTCTTTTCTTTCTTTTCTCTAGGCTTTTTTTCTGTCTTTCAATGATGAGTGTCGAAAGAATGTAACAGAGAAAAGAAGAAAGAAAAATCTACCAATCTTCTCTTACTTTGCTTACTCTCTCTCTCTCTATTATTCTCTCTAGCTCTCAACCGTTTTCCTGAATCGTGCATTTTGCATATACATTTTTAACTATCTAGCGGGTGATTGACTGACTGAGTTTCGTACAACAATCTATTTTTAACACTGAATGATTCTTTCGAAACCAAGTAAGTTCAAAGAAAGTCATTTTGTCCTAAATTTTACATAAAAGTAACTTCGTTTAATGCTCGGCTTCCTGCATAAGGCTGATGTAAATGAAGAATATCTCTGCTTGAGTAATTCAATTAAATTTTTCAGTGAACTTCCGTTGACGTCCGGGCGACCTCCTACATCGATGCACGATACGTTAATCGTTATCTAATCCTAGGAAAAGTTTCAAAAATAGATTGAATAAGTAACGAAGAATGGCAGAAACGTCTTCGTAATCATTTTATTATTTGTGAATTGTTAGTATATATTCCCCAATGGTTCAATCAAAAAAAGTGTACCCTAGTTGAGCTTATTGTTTCTTTTTCTTTTACGTATCTTGACTGCCATCAGTTACGGTAGTTGCTATTATTGGATATCAAATATACAAACGCCAACGATATTGCAGAATGTAGAGAAGAAAAAACTACGATTGATTGTCAACATAACAAAGCGTGTGATGATCGATATACGATGTATGTCTTTCTTTTATCTTTTGTTTCAAGATAGCATATCATGCATGCAATATTGCCATCATTGCGTTCTTTTTATTTTTGTTTTTGATTGCGCTAAAAAAGAAACATGACTGATGGGACAAGGTTGAGTAAGAACGAGTAGATTGCTTGTCTGTCTGTTTATAGAGATAATTTTTTTTTCCTCCTTGATTACGGAAATGTTCGGATGTTTTAGAAAAGCATGATTCCTTTCAAGTTATTCTTTCATTGAAAAATAAATAAAAAAGAAACATAAACAAAGAAGAAAAGTGGTATTTTATTTGTCATTCGTTTCATCTTTCATTAAATGAAAAAATGTTTTCTATTATATCAATTCTTATTTCTTATTTTGCGATTTCCAAGCATTAATCAAAGAAAAGTATATTATTGTTTTTAGTATCTCTTTTTTCCTCTGTTTCATTATATATGTGCTTATCTATGTGGCATCTGATCGAGTTAACGAGAATAGAGGAGGAGATCGCGCATTTGTCTTTTTGCTTTCGGCCAGCTCGATTATTTGTGGCCGTGTCAAGCAGAAAATAAAGGATAAAAAAAAAGAGAAAGAAGAAGAAGAACGACGAACGAAAAATCCAACATGGAAACAAGTAATAATAGTAATAATAATAATAATCGTCCTCATCATACATACATATAGTGATTGGGTGTCAAGGAATAGAAAAAAATGCCACTGATCTATCAAAGTAGTCCTATTGTGAGACTAGGCCATCGTCTGGCAACCAGTCGTTGTTCTTTTTTTCGGTAAAGCAAAAAAAGAAAGGAAAATACGAGAACACAACTGAGTATTTTATCGGTTGGACATCGTAATACTTAATGATTCTTCATTTGTCAATTTTATCGTCATCATTTTCGATCATATTAAATGTTCTATCGTAAGTGCATATTGTTACATAAAATATTTGTTTACTTTTATGTTTTGTTCTATTGGAAATAATTGAAGTAGTCTTTTTTTTTCTCCTATAAAAAGAAAATGTTTGCACGTACTGGTGTAATCTTTTTTTTTTCTTGACATATTAAAACAACTGGAAAGAAAGGTGCATAACGTCATATTGTCATTTTACTGAATTATTTTCTTCTAGTCATCAAAGAGATTTTCTTCTCTAACAAGCTAAAACCGGATGTGTTGCTTGATTTTTATTTCTATTCATGTCTTTCTTCAGCGAGTAACAATAAACGTATGTCACATATTTATTTTTCACTAAGTCTTTTCATCTTTATATGACATGGGGTCGTATACAATTAATGTCACTATTCTTCTTTTTGTCTCGTTAAAATCATTGAGAGAAGCCATCTTGAGTAGTATATGAGAGAGTAAACATAATTGTCTGGTTAAAAAAATATAATTTATTCATGTGACATTCACTTTTCTTTTCTCTCAATAGGCATTGTAATCAGGAATAAGCGTACGTAAAACAAGTGGATTGACAATAACCTAGTTTTTTTTCATTAAGAATTTCAATAAAAAATAGATTTTATAATCCTTCTCAATTATATACTTGCATTTTTTTCTCAATAGTTGTGAAACGCAATAGGATTAGCTTTCTTTTTTCTTTTTTTTACACAGACCACCATTTTTCTTTTCTCAATAAATTCTTCGTCTATTTTTCTCATTTTCTACTGTGCAATACGATTCAATGCATAAATATTTCAATTATAAAAAAGAGAAAAAAAGGCACTTTTTTTCACTTCAAGCTCATACATTGTAGGTTCCTGGCGATAAAACCATTTTCCTCTTTGATTGTTTATGATGCATGTAAATCTACATAGGTGAGCTATACACTCACATTTTTCATTTGAAAGAACAGCAATAAGTTATGCGCAGATAGTTTTTATTCTTATCATTGTAAAAAGAAATACGACATTGATCTTACATAAATAGTTTAATTTGTCTTTCCGATAGAAATTGATTATACATCAGTTCGTCGTATACCAAACGTTAAATTGAGTGAACAAACTCAAGAAACAACAACAAAAAATACGATGTCTACTTCAACATCATTACAAGATATCAATTCACATCGTACACGAAAATTTACTTGGAATAATAATAATAATAATAATAATAATAACAATAATAATAATAATAACAATAATAATAATAAAGATCAACAATTAGTTAATTATTACGAGTAAATTAATTCTCACTTATTGTTTTTATGACTATATTAATAGTTTTCTTTTTTCTTTTAATTTATTCAAGAAGATTATTGTCATCAAACAGTAGTCGACAATTAAACTCATCTCACAGTGATGAACGTATCTTTGAACATCCTGAAGTAACTATAAAATCATCAGCACTTGATGATGAAATTCAACGACGTTTATTAACAATAAAAACTTCGAATACAAATGAAAATATCGTTGAAAGTGAAGGTGGAAAAAGTGTACCAAATATGCTTGAACATCCGGATATGCGTTCGCCTGTTGTCATGCAACCACAACAAATGTCTTCATCATTTTCATCATCACCTTTACTAATTCAAAATAATTATAAACAAATTAATCGAACACAATCAGGTAAAAAACAAAACAAATCTAAAGTAGACAAACCATTTAAAAAAAATTAAATTCTTTCTCTTACAGCTGACATTTCTACAAATGAAGCTCGAACATCATCGCCTAATGTCCATGTCGATGTTTTTGTTGATGATCAGCAAGATTTAAGCCGATCTAATTCACCCGATTCACTTTTTGTCGATACTATTGATATTTTAGAACAAGAAAAAGTAAAATTTATAGAATTATTTCTTACTAATAATTTATATTCATCTTTTTGTTTTATTAGAATCAAGATCCTCCTTCAATATCACCATCGACAGCAACGAATTGTCTTCATGAATATTCTGAGTCAAGCTCAATATCGGATATTAATACAATGGAAACGGAAAAAAAGGATTGTTGGTGATGATTATCGCTCATCTATTTTATTTTCGTGCTGTTGTTGTTTATTTTTTTTCCTATATTATTTGTACATAGTACTAATGAAAAATGACAACAAAAAAGTGTTTATTTCAATAGCAAACAAATGAAATATGTCTAAAAGTATTCAAAGAAAAAAATGAACACACTAAAAATTAAAGGTTTTAATTTGAAAAAGTTTTCGATATTGGATTTGAATTATATTCTTGGTTTATAAAAAAAAGTGGATTACTAACACCTAAACGATATGGTTGATAACGATCCGTAGTACGTTCACCATATGGAATGTCAGAACGATAATATGATTGAGGACGCATTGTTAATCCATACCTTAACAAAAAAAAAATAAATAAATCAATTTAAAAATAATATTATCAAAAAACTAGATTGTTTTTTTAATACCATAGAAACCAAATAATAATAAAAACTAACATTAAAGAAAATACATAACCAAATACAATAGCTAATGGCCAAAGATCTGTTGAGCTTTTTGAATTATTTTCATCATAATTTAATGCAATATCACGTGATAAAACATATGGCGAATCTGATTCTATATAAAATTCACATCTATCACCTGTATATTGTTCAAGACATGAACAAGTGTAATTTTTTGATAATATTATTGATTGACATGTACCATTTGATAAACATGGATTCGATATACATGGATCAATATTGCATGATGAATCTAAATAAAAACAAACCCCTCAGTTAATCGAAGCGCAATGTACAACAGAAGTGTTTGATCATATCTATCACAGACGAATGATTTCTCTTTCTTCGAACGCTTGAAGAAAAGCAAAAAATAATCTGTCACTGTCTGTAGCGTTAGTCAGCTTTCTTCATATACACATTTATAATATTATATTTTTCGAATGTATGAATCATATATATATAAATCAGTGATTATTTGCACTTCACCCGTTTACCCTTGAGCGAGGACAAAACAAAAATTGAAAGAGCATACAATTAACCTTTATATTTTTATTATACGGTCGAAAGAAAAAAAAATGATGTTCGTTTTTGAAAGTCATGACTTACTAAATACAAAAAAATAGCCAATCCAAATCAATTAACTCACCATTGCAGTTATTTTTAGATAATTCACAGTAGAAACCTGTATAAGATGATTTACATATGCATAGTTCTTTATTGGATTCATCAACCTAAATAGAAATAATAATAATTTTATGGTATCTTTTTTATTATTATTCTATTTTTACTAGACAAATGCCGCCGTTGCGACAAAGACGAGTACATTGGGAATTAGATGATGGTGGTTGAATTGGTGCTAAAAAAAAAAATTGTCTCTATCTTAACATTTAATTAATAAAAAAGAAAAGAAAAATACATACGAGGGTATTCACAATATTTGCCTGTGTAATGTGGTCGACATATACATTGTACATCATGATTTGATTTTGTTATACATATACTCTGATGTTGACAGGGTGAACTTTCACATGGATTTGTTTCTAAAAGAATTTTATCACAACTAATATTTTACATGTAAACAAATTATTTTTCCAACATGCTTTTTTTTTTCGTTCTACATTCAAACTAAACTTACGAAAATGTGCAATATTTAATATTTCTGAATGAATTATAAAGATTATATTTAAGGTTAGAAATCCAAAGTAAGAGCTTACCGATTTCACAATAGATTCCGATAAATGAAGGTGAACAAAGACATTGAAAACTATGTTCAGATTGCAGAATACAAGTAGAATTATGATGGCATGGTGCACTTAAACATGGTGAATACTCTACAGCAAAAAAAAAAGATTAAAAGCAAAATGAATTGATTTTTATTTTAATTTTACTATTTTTATGAGATATTGATGATGTTGTAATTGATGGATATGAATTTGTTAGTCTATTTATTGCATAATTTTCCTTTAACCAATCAAGATAATCACGTAAGTCGATAGTTAAAGGTGTAAGTGTTAAATTTTTTATCGATTTTATTGCTGTTATAGGTACAGATGACACACTTGTAACAGTATCCAAATCTTTATGTGAATCAGCTAATGGAGTAATTATTGCAGGAGCTAGAAAAAAAAGTGTCTCTAATTAAATTGAAAAAAAAACAAATAGTTCATTCAATTCAAATTCTTACTGAACAAAGGTTGTGAACAATCAATTCCTGTCCAGTTATCTTCACAAATACAAATTTCTGTATATAAATCAATTTTTAAACATCGACCATGTATACATGGTGTTCGTTCACAAGATGTAACAATAGCTTGTTATAATGAATAATATGAATAAATCAAGAAAAAAAAACTACCCATGTTCAATATTCTTACCAACTTCACAATTTCGACCTATATAACCAATTCGACACTGGCATCGATAAGCTGATAATGAATTGGTATCAATCAAGTTTTCACATGTTGAATTATGTAAACATGGACGACTTACACAAGCACTTTCTTCTGTATAAATTTAATTAGAAATTAAATAAATTAAATAAAGAAAATAAAATAAATAATTAAGATCTATGTATATTACAGAACGAAGTTTTTACAATATTTAAGTTAGCAATAGACTTCGTGATTATCTCATGAATATGAAAATAATTTGATCAAAATAGTCAGACAACATGAGTATTTGTTGCAATTCGAAATAATCTCTAATAGACATACAACAAATTAAGAATCTAAGATTTGACTCATTTTTGTTTTTGGCAATACACTTTCAACTGCCATCCTTGTTTAGACAGGAAGCACAAGTGAACAATATTCACACGAGTTTATACGAAATGTACCTAATCATATCCAACTCAAGAATTTACTCATAAGCTTAGAATTTCCGAGATTAATCTATTGAATATATTTTATGAACATACTTATAAGACTTCGATTACAATTTTCCGATGTCCAACCAATATGACAAATACAGTGTCCGTCTCGTGAACAATCACCATGAATACATGTTGCTCGATTACATATATGATAGATAGTTTTTATAGCTGGACCAAATCAAAGTAAAGAAAAACAATTCATTGATACTCTAAAACAACAACATCTTTAGAATATTTACCAATCTCACAAGATCGACCGGTAAAGCCTTTTTGACATTGACATAGATAACTTCGAAGATAAACAACACATGTTCCATTATTTACACAAGGTTGGTCTTCACATGCTCGTACATCTGCAAATAGAAAAAAAAACAAGAACTTTTTTTCATCTGGCATTCTTCTATAAGTTTTACCACTAAGACAATCTTGACCAAAATATCCATGTTTACAAATTTTACGTCCAGTATTTAAATCACATTCAAAACGTTGTTCATTTGCGGAACAAAATGTTTCACAATCATCACCGTAATAATTTGGTGAACAATAAAGCTAAAAATAAATAGATTATTGATTCAAAATTTGACTATTCAATAAAATGACAAACTGAAAAGTCGACAGTTAAATTTGTATAAGAACCAAATAAACTTTGAAGATAAATTTTTTGTGGTTTCGCTACTTCAATTGAACGATAAAGTTTAAGATCAGTTAATGTTCTTCCATAAAAATCAATTGAATCATGGATACTTTGATTATTATTATCATCTATATCAAATACTTCAACAATTAGACCAATACCAGTCTTAATACACGACAAAAAAAAAATACACGAAAGTTAAATTTAATCGAAGAAAAACATGAAAAAATATTGTTTACTTTTGGATAATTAAAACGAAAATAAATTGTTGGTTGAAACCAAAGAGAAATTAATGATGATCTTTGTCTTTTTTTATTAATTGATAAAATAGAACGTCGTTGTAATTGTTGATCAGTATTAATAAAATGTATATCATCACCACCAACAAAACCCGTAAAATGATCACCTAATGTACAATTATGTGGATTTTGAAATGGTAAATGTACGAGACAAAATAAAAATCCTGTATCACATCGACCATCTCGATTGATATCATGTTCAAGTCTTGTATCACATGGACGATTTTCATATGTTAAACCATTTCGATTTTTATAATGAATTAAACGTAATGAAAGTGTCACTTCACTTAAGGATAACTATATAAATTTAAATAAAAATCTTATAGGAAAAGAAGAAAAAACAAATTATCAATGAATTTGACAAACTTTAAGCATAGCAAAATCATAAACAAGAATAATAATTAACCATTGTACCATGTCGACCTTCCGTTCATACTATTAAAAAACAATATGAATGATATTTTCTCACAAATAAACGTGAAGGATTTACATCAAGTAAATGTGAGAAGAAGGCGAAAGGTATACATCGCACATATATATATATATGTGTGTGTATATATGATAGTCAATATTGTATATACGCCCTGTTCTTCATTTTGTTCCAAATGAGTGTTTGCTTTAGGGTTATTAGCCGAGATGCGCTTAGACGATCTTGTCTTCGTTTTTTTTTCTATGCGTTTATATGGCGACTATAAAGCTCAAAGATTGCAATGAGATGCAACTTTGATCTTATCATCATACACTTTTATTTTTGGTGTTATCCTTCTTTGTCTCATACATATAAAGAATCAATTTGAATTGAGATGATGAAGAAAAGAACAAAAGTCTGACTAGACAAATATACCTATGTATACTAACGAATAGTATAATTAATATATACAATTGTCCAACGACATCATCATCATTCATTGTTATTAGAAGTAGAATTTAATATTTTTAATTTCTGAGCTTAGGATTTAATTTGTTATAGAGAGTTTTTTCTTTCGTGAATAAGTCATCAATAATAAAGACGTATTTTATAGTATAACCGATATGCACTCATTAACATTGTATTGTTATTCAATTGTCATATATGTTGAGTAAAGCATCAAAGTCTGACATGCATCAAAATAACAACGATAACTGGCATATGTCTGTTAAAAATCAAGAGACATTTATTATTTAGATAATTATAGAATGTGTTTGCCAGTAAATTATTGTAACAAAAATATCTCAATTATAATATAAGAGTTAAGCGATATATA